CATTTAAAGACCAGCAAGATCAATTCGTCAGATAGTTGAGAAAAGTAGTCTGAAAATAGAGAAAGTCATTCATGAGGCGAAATGAAACCAGACAACAAAAAAACAGTTTTACAAACATACAGCAAAGCACTGAGGTACGAAACGTTAGTTGGCATTTAGGGATCTGTTGAGATATTTATTACTTTGGTCAACAGGATGGACATCGTCTCTGCCACCATCGACAGACCTATTTTAACTGCGGAAGAGGTTGAGACACGGAGGGCTTGCTGGAGCCGCCGCTAAGCTAAACCCCGAGAATTAAGCGCTGAATGGAGCATTACGGTGGCGCCGGCGGCGATGACATTGAAGCTCGACGTCAAGTTGTTAGCACGACGACGAGGCAACAAAACGTCAGACGATCGTGGCACGGAAATGCGACGGAAAGCGGCCGCCGCCATAAACACGCAGATGACGGACGACATACGTACAGACAAACAGTACCTAGCCGAAGTACTGGAATGTTCGACTTGAATTCCAAATTCATGACGCACACAGTCCGCCAAGTGGACGACGACTGACTAACGTCGAATGGCGGTAGTGATGTTGGTAGCATCTAATACAAGGCGGTGGCGACGGCGGCGGCGGTAGGGCGGACATTTTTTAGCATGTGAACGAACGAATGAACATGTGGGCATGAAGGTGACGGAACAAAAAGAAAAATGGTGGCGACGATATCGAAGACCATGTCTACTCGCCTAGTAGTCGTTCCGGCCCACTCCAACCACGCATAACTGCTTCTGCGTGATCACTGTGAGCTGGCTGGCCAGACGGCCAGCCGGCTGGCTGACATAAAGATACTCAGGATGTAAACGAAACAAATTAAAAGAACGGCAAAAATCTACAAAAACACTATTACACAAAATGTGGCGATTGCAAAGATCACTATACGAAGATTTTCTATCGTCTTCCTAAAAGAAATTCGGTCAGCTGGTTATCGCTGAAACGGCCATTTGAACGCGGAGAATTTGTACACTTACGTGTGCTTGATTTTCCAATTTCATATTTAGTCTTGTATAGTGTCACCCCATTTCTTGGTTACCTCAATCAGAAACAAGATAATTCGCACGTTTTGGTAGGGAAATCATACTCTGTTCTGTACATATCAATAGTACAATATGTCCCCAAAAACTACCTAATATTTTAAATTTAAACGGAGTATTTTCATTCAAAAATATCAACACTAATTACATGGGCAGACAATCGTTTGTTTGAGTTTTACAACAACCACTTATCAAGTCACAGAATAACGTAAGCAGTCACTCGATAGAATTGTAAAAAGCGTTGTATGAATTAAATATGATTAGGGTTCTAAATGTGTAATGAAGCAGGATTTACAATAGGTGATTAACAGCCAAACCCTATCAAATCAAATCCGATCATGCAAGCTGTTGTACCAGGAACGATTCATTGACCTTGGTTCCGACAGCGGTTTGCACCTCAGCTCACCTAATTTGTAAAGCATTGTAAAGTACCCCTGTGTCCAGTCGAGGTTGTAATAGGTTTTGATTACGAAAACGATAAAGGATAAAAGCGCAGAACCGAGGATACAACTTTTGCCACCGCCAGGCGTTCAGTTGACAACCGGAGCTTCGCATACTATCGCACGTAACAGTAATTCGATTGTTAAGTTCGATTCACGACGTTGCGTTGATAACAGTACGACTCCTGATTCCGGCGTGAAGGCACGTACGGATTATGGGGAATGGGGAAGCGAAGTGCGAACGACATGAGCCGCCGCCCATCGGTCGAAGTTCGGCATAAATAATAAAACAACTTCTTGCTGAACGCCCGTCTGGTTTTAGTTTCCAGTAGCGAAAACGGCTGGACAACAGACAACGTATTTCACAAAACTCTAATGGCAGACGACAGGTTGCTCGAACGTTAGCCAATTGGAACAGAACGAGAAAAATGAAAGCAGGGCACGGCTCCATGAAGTCAATCGATGTCACTATTATTCCTTAATAACCGGCAGAAATGAAACTTTTTAAATCTCACTCATGTCATCGGATTAACGGCATTATTAATTATAAAACCCGTTTCCGCAGGAAGCAAATAAGCAAGTATATTAATCTTCAAATGAAATGTCAAGTCAAGACAAACAATAATTACCAAGAGGAATAAGACCTAAGCCTGGGCGTCAAATAAAACATGCATACCTGTTACCTCATGCAACGGTGGAAACAACACGTATTAAAGAAAGTACAGGGTAAAATTATTATACACATAGGGACATCGCTTACCGATGTAAGAACGTCGGCCGCCTGCAGACGACATAATGCGCGCCACTCGGTACTTGATTCTTTCCAACCCATCGTCTCCCTCCCGTTCGTAGCTGGCGTTGCGTGAACTATTTCCGCTATTGGTCAACACCTCAAATGCGCCATTAGCTACACAAAATGAATTTACAAAGTTAATTTTACTGCTTAACACAAAGCTAGCTTCGAGGAGCTAAGGCTAAGAACAAATTGTCTGGAGATGAAAATTACAGCTATATTTCATGCAGTGAAATTTAAAATTTAAAAAAAATCTACTCGAAAAAGAACATCAAGGCACAGACACTGTCCTCTGATCCCCCGACCCTACTTCCCACTTCATTTCTGCCACGTCGTCGCATACCTCAGACTCGTCGACTGCAATATTATCATCGTCCGGTGGCGTCGGGTCACCATAAGATTTCAGCCACTGAAAAGAATCGTACTCGCTGCTGGCATATTCGTACGATTCATCCTGTTGCTTCTTTTTCTTTTTTGCCGCAGAACTGTACATATTAAGCCGCAAACAGCACACCGCTCACCAACACTACGCGGTTCGGTCGACTTCGCGCCAAATCGCACTTTCCCACTAGTTTACTGTATGTTCGCGAGAATCGAACATTCAAATTCGAAATGGTCAAATTACCGACTGTTGATTTGCCGGTTCGATTAAGTGTTTACACCAAATATTTGTACACGTAGAAAAAGCATGATCAACTTTGGGCACAAGTTGACTATAAAAACCGGAAACTTCAGAAATATATATTTGAATATCACTGAATTAAAATATTCTTTTTATTTTCAGCATTGATAAATCAGTTGTTCGGACTCTGGCACAGATCGAGAACGTTGGAAGCACTGTCTGACACGTCTGCCTCCGCGACCCGAAACAAAAAGCGGTAATCGAAGATGAAGATAAATCAGTTGGAAAATTTTTTTATGACGCACAAACTAAATTAACTGTATGAATCTGATTCATGATATACTTTATTTTAAGATGAAAAAGTCTACTTTCAATAGAAATTGTCATTTATTCTGTCAGCAACCGAATTTTACACACTACTTGAACGAAATCACGAATGGAGGTTTTAGAAAAATTTCGTGAGCTAGAGCAAGTATAGAAAAGCTCGTGTGAAAACAACAGGCAATGGATATTAGTATTTCAATACACCAAGTCGCAGAAATTATTAAAAGCTTTTGAAATATACCAAATGCTGTTGGAATCGGTGAAATTCACCCTCACATGCTTGCTTTCGGTGAAAAATTCACTTTGTGGCTGATAAATGACTGCAAAT